TGAGGCTTTCTACTCCCGTAAAGATTTACACCCTTGGAAACCCTGTACAGGGTCGCTATGGGTCGGAACTGACTCAACGGCACTTAACAACAACAGCCAGACCCAATTGAAGTTAACGCAAACAGCACACACAGACAAAAATCAAATAGCAAGCCAGGTATATTAAGCTATGAATTGTAAACTTCTCAGAAGAAAAACATTTTTTGAGGGCATCTCCCTCATGAATGATAGAGCACATTGGCCCGTTGTTATTTCTACGTCTTTATAAGGTGCTCTGGTAGTGTAGTGGTTACGAATCGAGCTGCGAACCGCAATGTCAGCAGTTCGAAACTATCAGCTGCTCCACGGGAGAAAGATGAGGCGTTCTGCTCCCGTAAAGATTAACAGCCTCAGAAACCCTGTGCAGGGTCGCTATGAGTCAGAACCGACTCCACGGCACATAACAACAACATAGGGTTTTGGAGTCCTGGTGGCGCTGTGGGCTATCACAACAACATAGGGGTTGGGGCTCATTTCCCTCAGGTTTAATTTTAATTGGTGGCAGGGTCTAGGTAGCACATATTTGCACCCTTTGTGATGGTCTTGTTGTTGTTGTTAAGTGCCGTGGAGTCGGTTCCGACTCATAGTGACCCTGCACAGGGTTTCCGAGGCTGTAAATCTTTACCGGAGCAGAACGCCTCATCTTTCTCCCGCGGAACCGCTGGTAGTTTCGAACTGCTGACCTTGTGGTTCACAGCCTGATTCGTAACCACTACTCTATTTCTCAGAAGGTGTGCTGGGCTCAGTTTCCTGGAATTGTTGATTCAAGTGCCAGATGTTGGGATGCAGTTAGGCTGGTTGTTAAATTCCTTGCTCTGTCCCTAATAATAAATCACTGAGATAAGGATCACCAACAGGCAACATGAGCCAAAGCAAAACAAAAAAGGCCTTGGCAAAAACAAAACCAGGAGTCTTGTATGCAGTTTCCCTTTCCTAGTGGGCAAGAGAGTCAACCATAAACAGATGTAACTTTTTTGGCTATATACAATAGGATGAATGTAAAGCTAATGTTCTCCTATGTAAACTATCACATAATTCACAACAAAACATATATATATGTATATATTAATTTGAAAAAGCAGAGTTGTCGATATTGGCAAAGTACACAGGTAATCATTTCCACCTCATAGCCTAACTTTGGGAAAGCAGAGGAAACGCATGCATCAAGCAAGCCTGAAGCCTTCTGGAGAGGTCTGAGCAGGCGCAAACGCAGGCTGCAGCTGCGTAGGCCTCACCTGATTCAGTGTTTGTGTATGTATGTCGTTGAAGCCGAGCCTCCCAGCGCTGCAGCGACTGAGCTCCGAACCGCCCCCCGCGTCTGGGACTGCGGACTTGGTGACCCATCCTCGGGTCTGTCCACTGTGGAGCAGCCCACGATTGCGCAGCGTCCCGGCATTCGGGTGAGTAACCCCGGATTCGCAGCCTTCGGTCCTGGTGCAGAGCCTAGCGGCGGCGCCATAACAAAAGTCAAGGCCTGAGTAGGAGGAGGGGAAGCCAGGCGCCGGCAGGGCTCCAAAGTGGAGGTGCTTGGTGACCGACCCCTGCGGGGAGGAGCTCCAAGTTTCACACAAGTCTTAATCTTGGGCCTAATTCTGGGCCCTCTGCTATGAGAGGCCAGCAGGCCCTGGTTTGACAGCTGAGGTTTCCTGCGTAGTTGGCTTGAATTTTTTTTTTTTTTTTTTTTTAACCCTTGCAGCATAGATGTTTTGCCGGGTTTTGTTTATGACGCTTTTGAAAGGCTCTGTCTTCCATGTATCACTTTCAGAACTAAAATAAGTGTCTTGTTCAGAGCATCACCACCCTTTTAAGGATGGACTGCTGTATTTTTTTGGTTTTGTTTTTAATTTTTCTCAGTTTGAATCTGAGATCCATGTTGGTTTTCTGTAAATTAAGAGACTGTGTTAAAGACATAGAGAACTGAGAAGAGAAGAAGGGGTCTGGCACCTGTAAGAAATGAGCAATTCTTCATGAAAAAAACGTAATTGAACTTGTAGTGCTTCTTTTCAGGGATACCTAGTACATGACAAAATCAGGCGCTGGTTTGTTTATTAGCTTTACGGAAAATTTGTACGAGGAAGAGGGTTCAGTGAGAACAGAAAACAGGCCTGACTGAGAGCCATTTGGCTTGCCTTCTGTCTTCCCTCCCAACACCCTCCAGTGGATGCACCTTACACCCCTGCCAGCATTAACAGACCGTGGAACAGGTGAAGCCAGGACCAGCTCATAGGCTGTTCCAGTAGGCCCCAAGGTCACAGTGTGGGGACAGGGATATTAATTAACCTCTGAACCACCTGTAGCTGGCAAGTATTGATTTAGCTCCATTTTAATATAATTGAGCCAAACCAAGAGAAGATCACACGTTTAGGAGTCAGAATCATTTGTTTTTTTAACTTAAATGGTCAACTTGTACATATTTAAATTTCTATTTATTTTGTTATTGTTGAAAATGTGCACAGCAAAGTATACACCAATCCAACACATTCTACATATATACAACTGAGTGCCATGGATTACATTCTTCACCAAAGACTCTAAGAATTGGTTAAAAGGGGAAATTCGGAACCAATTCAAATTCTCATTGACTATAGACTTTCTGGAACAGTGGAGAGTATATGAACCCCTGAAACTATTGCCTTGTAATAATCTTCAGACCTTAAGCCAAAACTATCTTCTGAAGTCTTCATAAAACCAAACAATAGTGAAGTTTTAACTAGTAAAAAATATCTGCTTTAAACATTAAGGGGCTTCAAAAAGTTCATTGAAAAATTCTAGTATGTTTTAATTCCATTTTTCCATGAACTTTTTGAAGCTGCCTTGTATGTGATAAAATTGACAACGGCAACTCCAAACATTATATAGAAACCTTGTTGTTTTTGTTAAGTGCCGTGGAGTCGTTTCCTACCCATAGAGGCCCTGAACAGGGTTCCTGAGGCTGTAATCTTTACAGGAGCAGAAAGCCTCATCTTTCTCCCGCTGTTGAATTGCTGACCTTGCAGTTTGCACCCCGATTTCGTAACCACTATGCTACCAGAGCTCCTTATATAGAAACCGTAGAGAGCCAGTAAGTTGTTCGTGGAGGAGTAACAACTCAGAAAAAAAGGGTAAGAGGTTGCAAAACTCTAAGAATATAATCAATGTCAAAGTTTTGCTTTTATTTTAAATAGTGAAAAAGCATCTTTATTCCTCATTCTACAATTTTAGATTTGTTTGGCTAGTGGTATGCTTTTCTCCACCATTTGCTATGGTGAGTGACTACAATTTTGCCTTTAATGCTAATTGTTTCAAAGGCAGAATGTTTTTGTTTTATTCATAAACAAATGATGCCTGCATGTTGCTCTTCAGAGGTCCCTAAGGAAGTATATAGACCTTTGTCAATGTTTGAATGCCTTTTATTGTAATAAATCTGATGTCATTTCATAATATTTTATTGGAAAAACACTTCTGGGCTCTAGTACATTGTTTATTTTTTTAGACATTATTTTGCTAGAATATGATTCCGTTCCAAAAATGTAATCTGAACACTCCCTTGAAATTATTCCAAATTAATGAGATAAGTATAAATATTTTTTAGTGTGCTTTTCCTGAGTTTATTGTAAGATATTTCTTTTTCTTTAGACATGGGAAAGTCTTTTTCTCATTTACCTTTGCATTCAAATAAAGAAGATGCTTACGATGGAATCACGTCAACAGAAAATATGAGGAATGGACTGATAGAAAATGAAGTCCATAATGAAGATGGAAGAAATGGTGATGTCTCTCAGTTTCCATATGTGGAATTTACAGGAAGAGATAGCGTCACCTGTCCCACATGTCAAGGAACAGGAAGAATTCCCAGGGGTATGTGTTTTTGCGTGATGTTCCTTTAAAGCATGATTTTAAGTATTATATAAAATACAACACATGCATCTGTGCCTTTCCTATGTTCTAAAAAGCCTTTGAATTCAAATTTTATATCAGCTTCCTTTAGTCTAAAGGACACAAAGAAACAAGCATATAAATATTAAAGTTCCTAAAGCAGTACAAATGGTAACCATCTGTCTGCCCCACTAGTTTTTCTCCCCTAAGTCACTTTGGGTCAGAACCGACTTGACAGCACATAACAACAACAGCCTACTATGTACTGTCTCTTGAGTGAAAATTTTAAATGCTATTTGGCATCTATAAAAAGCATATCACAGTTGTTTTGGTACATTTTATGTTACAGGTAACCCCCTATGTCTAGATTATTTTAATATCAGTGGCAGCAGGTAGAAATACTAAAGGTACTGTATGGTCTTCCCATTCTCTGGTTGGTAACAGTTGGTATATGACTGTGGAGAGATCATGGAAAGAGGGGACCTAGTGACAGTGTAAAGTATATCAAAGTCTATGAGAATACCTTGGGGGATTGTTGTTGTTGCTATGTGCCGTGGAATCAGTTCTGACTCATAGCGACCCTGTACAGGTTCCCGAGGCTGTAAATCTTTACGGGAGCAAAAAGCCTCATCTTTCTCCCAAACAGCTGGTAGTTTTAAACTGCTGACCTTGCGGTTCGCAGCCCGATTCGTAACCGCAGCGCTACCAGAGCTCCTTACCTTGGGGGATAGAGTGGGGAAATTTATATTCTAGCTGGCTTTGAATGTGATGGCTTTATGTTATAATAGTTTGACAATAAAAGGATTAATGTAGTTAAAGGGATTTGTGCACAGGGTAAGGGGGGTGGGTGGTAATTATATTATGTTAAGACATGGTGTAGAAGGTTTTTGGGAATCCTGGACACAGATTATGGAGCGAAGGAAGGGATTCAAGGATGACTAAAATTTTTCCACCTGAGCAACTGGAGAAATGAAGAAGCCAATTATTGAAAAGGGGAAAAACAGATTTTGGTGTGTGTTTCAGCGGTCAGGAGCCCACTTTTTATACATGGAAGTTTCATGAGTCATATGTCATATCTAGGAAGTATGCTGGCTCTATAGGATAAACACTGGACTGCAAATCCCAAGGTCTGCGGTTTGAGTCCGTTATCTGAGCCATAGGAAAAAGATGAGGCTGTCTGTTCCCATAAAGATTTGCAGGCTCAGAAACTGTATACAAGATTGCTATGGATCGGAAATGATTCAAAGACACTTAACAACAGCTTGATATCTAAGTGGCTATGTTTAGCAGAAAATTATTTATGAAAGTCTAGAATTTAAGTATAAAGCCTAGTTTATGTTATCAGTACATGTTGTTATTAGGTGCTGTCAAGTCCGTTATGACTCTTAGGAACCTTATGCACAATAGGAAGAAGCCACCATGTCCCACACCATTGTTACCATTGTCATGTTTGAGCCCTTTGTTGCTGCCTCTGCATCAGTTCATCTCATCAGTGGTCTACCTCTTTTGTACTCACTCTCCACTTTACCAAGCATGATGTCCTCCTCCAGGGACTGGTCCCTCTTGACAACATGTCCAAAGTGTGAGAGATAAAGTCTTACCATCCTCGCTTCTAAGGAATATTCTAGCTGACTTCTTCTGTCAGTCCATGGTACTTTCAATATTCTTCATCAGTATCATAATTCAAATGCATCGATTCTTGTACGATCTTAATTCAACTTTCACAGGCCTGTGAGGTGATTAAAAATACCATGGCTAGGGTCAGGTTTAACTTAGTCCTCAGATTGACATCTTTGCTCTTTAACACTTGAAAGAGATCATTTGCTACAGATTTGCCTAGTGCATCGCTTGATTTCTTGACCATTGTTTCCATAAATGTTAATTATGAGTTCAAGCAAAATGAAGTCTTTGGCAACTTCAATCTATTCTCCATTTATCTTGATGTTATTGGTGCAGTTGTGAAGGTTTTCGTTTTCTTTACATTGAGTTGCAATCCATATTGCAAGCTTAAATCTTTATTGCTAAGTATTTCAAGCCCTCTTTGCTTCCATCAAGCAAGGTTGTGTTATCTACTTATTGCAGGTTATTAATAAATCTTACTCCAATCCGGATGCCGCGTTCTTCTTCATATAATCCAATTTCGCAGTTACCTGCTCAGCATGCAGACTGAATTGTTGGTGGTGGTTGGTGGTGGTTGGTGGTGATGGTCTTGTTAGTGCCATCGAGTCGGTTCCGACTCACGGTGACCCTGTATAGGGCTTCTGAGGAGTGACTGGTGAGTTTAAACTGCTGACCTCATGATTCAAACTGACCTTGCGGTCCACTGCATTATCTGCAGTGCCAAATCACACACCTTTACTGAGTTTTAAACCATTCAGTGTCCCTGGTTCTGTTTGAATGACTGTGTCTTGGTCTATATAGAGGTTCCTAATGAGCATGGTTAGGTGTTCTTGAGTACCCATTCTGGACAATGTTATCCATAGTTTATTATGATTGGCACAGTTGAATACCTTTGTAAAGTCAATAGAGCAGAAGTAACATCTTTTTGGTAGTCTCTACTTTCAGCCAAGTTCCATCTAACATAAGCAGTGATAGCCCTAGTCCCATGTTCTCTTCTGAATCCATATTGATTTTCTGGCAGTTCCCTGTCTGTGTATCACTGCAACTATTTTTTATTTATCTTCAGCAAAATGTTTGCTTGCATGTGATATTGATGATATTGCTCAATGATTTCTAAATTCCATTGGGTCAACTTTCTGTGGAATGGTCACAAATGGATCTCTACCAATCAGTTAACTAAGAAGCTGTCTTCCAAACTTCCTGGTATAAACAAGTTAGCACATCAAGGACTGTATCAATTTGCTGAAACATTTCAATTTGTTTTCCATCAATTTCTGTAGCCTTGTTTTTTCCAATGCCTTCAGTGCGGTTTGGACCTCTTCCCTCAATATCATTGGTACTTGATCATATGTTGTTGTTGTTGATTAATGCCATCAAGTCAGTTCTGACTCATAGCGGCCCTGTATAGGGATTCCAAGGAACAGCTGATGAGTTTGAACTGCTGACCTTGTAGTTCGCAATGCTGATCCTACTGTGCCACACCAGAAGTCCACTTGATTATATGGACCTCTTTAAATGGTTGAAGATTGTCCAATTCTTTTTGGTACAGTGACTCTGTGTATTCCATCCATCTTCTTTTGATATTTTCTATGCTTCTTGGATCAACTATCAACACTCACAGAAGCAGCAGTCAAGAGATCAGATGACATATTGCATTAGGCAAATCTGCTGCACAAGAACTTTTTTCAAGTGTTGAAGAGCAAAGATGTCAGCTTGAGGACTAGGGTGCACCTGACCCAAGCCATGGTATTTTCAATGACCTCATGTGGATGTGAAGGCTGGACGATGAATAAGGAAGATCGTAGAAGAATTGATGCCTTTTAATTATGGTGTTGGAGGAGAATACTGAAAATGCCATGGGCTGCCAAAAAAAAACAATAGATCTGATTTGGAAGAAGTGCAGCCAGAATGCTCCTTAGAGGCCAAGATGGCCAAACTTCGTCTCTCATACTTTGGACATATTGTCAGGAGGGATCAGTCACTGGAGAGGGATATCATGCTTGATAAGGTGGAGGGTCAGAGAAAAAAAGGAAGACCCCCAACAAGATGGATTCAAGTGTGGCAACAGTAGTGAGGTTGGCCCAGGATCGGACATTGTTTTATTCTGCTGTGCATAGGGTCGCTATGAGTCAGTGCCAACTCGATGGCACCTAACAACAACAACATAGTATTTTGCCCATCGAATCTTTCATTATTGAAATCTGAGACTTGAACTTTTTCTTCAGTTCTTTAAATTTGAGAAATATCAATCATGTTCTTCCCTTTTGGTTTCATAACTCCAGGTGTTTGCACATTTCATTATAATACATGACTTTGTCTTCTTGGGCTGCCTTTTGAAGTTTTCTGTTTAGTTCTTTGACTTCCTCATTTCTTCCATTCTCTTTAGCATCTCTATGCTGGAGAGCAAGTTTCAGAGTCTCTTCTTACATCCATTTTGGCTTCTTTCTTTTGAATGGCTTTTTGCTTCTTGTGCAATTTTCTTGATGTCATCACAAAGCTCTGATGGTCTTCAGTCATTATTATCTAATGCATTGAATCTGTTCTTAAGATGGTCTCTAAATTCAGGTTGAGTATACTCAAGGCCATATTTTGCCACTAGTGGACTTGTTTTGATTTTCTTCAGCTTCAGCCTGACCTTGCATATGATGCAATTGATGATCTATTTCACAGCTTGCCTCTGGCCTCGTTTGGCTGATGATATTGAGCTTCTCTGTCATCTCTTCCCACAGATGTAGTCAATTTGATTCCTGTGTATTCCATATCATGAGGTTCACATGTAAAATTGCCTTTAATGTTGTTGAAAAAAGGTGTTTGCAATGCCTAAGTCATTTGTCTTGCAAATTCTCTCATGCGATCTCTAACATATCTATCACCAAGATCATATTTTCCAGCTATTGATCCTTCCTCTTTGTTTCCAACTTTCCCATTCCGTTCACCAGTAATTTATATCAGTGCATCTTGATAGCATGTTTGATCAATTTCAGATTGAAGAAGTTGGTAGAATTCTTCAACTTCATTATCATTGGCATTAGCGTTTGGTTTGTAAATTTGAATAATGGTATTAACTGGTCTTCTTTGTGGCATATGGATACTATCCTATCACAGAGAGCACTGTACTTCATGTTAGATCATTAAATGCTCTTTTTGACAATGGATGCAATGCCATTCCTTTTCAGTCTGTCATTCCCAACATTGTCAACAATATTAAAAATGGCCAATGGAAGCAAAAGCACATACGAATATAGAGCAGATCCAGAGAACATAGGGGGAAAAGGAGATTACAGATAGGTAAAGTAGCTTTTTTGAATACTTGTATAGACCAAAAATGCTCTTGTATAGGTCTCCAGTGACCTCTGTATTACCAAATCCAATCACTAGTTGCCAGTGCTCACATTGCTTGATTTATGAGTAGCATATTATGAAGGTGGTCACACTGTTCTCCTTGGGGCATTTTTTTCCCACTTGTCTTACACACACACACACACACACACACACAGGGATTTCTTACACTCCAGCTTTCTGTGTAGTTGTATAGAGTGAAGAAGGAGTCCTGGTGTGTGCAGTCCAGTGTGAGTTAATGCACTGGACTGCAAAGTCGGTTTAAACTGCAAGGTTAGTGGTTCAAGCTCACCAGCTACTCCTTGGAAACCTTATACAGGGTCACCATGGGTTGGAACCAACTCATTGGCACTTAACAACAGCAATCGAAGAAAGAAGTAGTAAACTTGAGAGGTTGTGAGGCAAGAGAGGGATTTTTTTCACATAGATTTATTTATAGAATGTTTGAGAATGATTCATAGAGAAAACATTGATAGAGAGAAAATCATTAGAGCAGTGATACTGAGTATGCAGGAGGGCATGAGTCCAACTGCATATATTGTGCTTTAGTATTTGCTATGAAGAGCCAACTTCTGAGAATATAGCAAAATTGACATTTAAAGATGTCATGAATATCACTCAATCCAAGGAGTACTGGTACTGCGCTTGTAGGATAAGCACTGGACTGCCAACCGCAAAGTCCATAGTTGAAACCTATCAGCCACTCCTCAGAAACCCTATACAGGATGGTTGCTGTGAGTTGGGACTGATTCAACAGCACTTAACAAGTGCAGGAAAGAAATAATATACTTTGAAGAGGCTTAGTGTATAAGGGGCTCACTTGAAAGAGTTCAGGAAAGCTCCTTATGTCGGTGTCTCATAATATGAGACTTAATATATGTCAGTTTGGATTTTTCATGGACAGTGTAAGAACCCCTGTAGGTATGTGGGTTTGAGAACATTCAGGACATGTTCCTCCTTTTCCGTTCTCAGGAAGATAACCAAATGAGAGTTTCAGTGGATAATAATAGAGTTGAAGGGAAGGCCTGACAAAATCAGATCCTCTGAAAGCAGTGATTGCTTTTGTTTGTTTGTTTTTTTAAAGATCTTATTTAGTGGAAGAAAAAGTAAGAAAGTATTCATTCTTCATAATAGATTTTACTGGTTAATATAGTAGGTTTAAAAAAACAAACACAACTCAGTGGCTACTATGTAACTAAACTTCTAGATAATTTTAAAGCTTTCTAGAGCACGGTCCTAAAGGAATAAGATGACAGCCAGATGGTATGCTAGTCTTTCCAAATGACGGTGTGATACAGAGCCACTGTATTTTAATTAATCATGTTAATAACTTTCTAACTTCCACTTTTAGGACAAGAAAACCAACTTGTGGCATTGATTCCCTATAGTGATCAAAGACTAAGGCCAAGAAGAACGTAAGTGATTATAAGAAAATAGCAACTGGTTTTTCTTTGCTGTTGTGTTTTTCATTTTGATTTTTGTGTGTCTGTGTTTGTTTGTTTTGTTTTGTTTTGTTTGCATTATATATGATCTTGCTAAAACTGTTAAAAGGAAAATAATACCAAGTTGATAAATCATATGGAGTGTTGGTGGCAGAGTGGTTAAGGGATCATCAAAAGCTTCAAAACCAACAGTGACTTTATGGTAGAATGACAGTCTGCTTCTGTAAAGATCACAACCTTTTAAACCCTTTGGGGCAGTTCTACTCCGTCCTACAGAGTCACTGTGAGTTGGAATCAACTCAGCAGCAGTCAATTGGGTTCTGTTTGGATGTTAAATCATGATGTCATTATGTTTTATATCCTTAAGAAAAGATCCTCATTGTGGTAAGCTCTTCTCAAATCTATTTATTAAAACTGCTGCTGCTACAAGAACACCCAGATTTTCAGACAGTACCCATCTGACCTAGCCTCAATGGCTTGGTAATCAGAACTTGACTAGAGGAAGATAAAAAAGAAAACAATTTTTAATAAAGGAAATGAGAGTAAATTGCTACAATTTGAAGAACTTGACCCATACTCATGGAGGTAGTAGCTCAAAATACCAACAAAGAGGGAAGGAGTCTTCACATCAAGTATCAATGCTACCCCCTCTTTATACAGGGTAGATAGGGATGGACATCTTAGACATTGGCTATCTGAAATGAGGGATGATACAGGCACGAAGTGACTGGCTTACAAAGTTTCAAGAGGGAGTTTAATTTAACAAATGCCATCTCATTTAAGCATGAACAACAGAAGAGGATTCTAATCAACAACCATACAAAGACATTGTGTGTGTGTGTGTGTATGTGTGTGTGGTGGGGGGCGGGGGGTGGAGCAGAAGGTGAGGTGAACAAAATGCTGATAGATGGTAAAAGTACATAGAAAAGCAGGTGAATTCTTAATGTTATAAAATGTTCAAAAAATTGAGAAAACTGTAAAATGACAGAACAGCATGTCAGAAATTGAAAACTTCAGAAATGAATTAACTAAACAATAAGAATATGAAAATAGTCTACACATCCCTAGAAATAACTTGAAAAGAAATTCGGAAACCAAGACAAAACTGGAAGAATAGAAGTATAAATAGATACTATGACAAGTACTGTAAAAGAAAAGAGGATAAAAGGAAGAAAAAAAGCACAAATTAATGAAAAAGATTTGAAAAAAATAATAATGTAGAAGACAAACAAAGAAGATTGAACATAAAAGCAATTGGTGTTCGTGAAAAGAACATGGAAGGAGTAGAACTGAGCAAACAATAAACATTTATATGAGGGGACTTCAAAGCGTTCATGAAATAAAAGATTTGAACCTACATATTGAAAAAGACTTACCATGACTCTTGACAAAAAGCATACTTTGATAAAATTACTAGACTTTGAAAGGGGGTAAGGCGAGAATCCTTTGTGCACCCTGGCAAAGCATCAATTACCTTATAAGAGATAAATACCAGCTTGATATGCTACTTCTTGACCACAATGCTTCAAACAAGAAGGCAGTAGAGCAAATACTCTGCCAAAAGAAGACACCACTCATGGCAATAAAATGAAGCAAGGATTTTACAAACAGTTCATCTGACCTGTAAGTATAAAATCTGCTGTGAGCATGTAAGCAATCAGAGTGAAAAACCTGAAAGTGGACAAAGCTTTTCCAGTTTACTCAAAATCCAGAAGTGGTAAGAGATTATTAAACATAGCGGTGTTAATTTTTACAAGATCCAAAATTAAACATTAATTAAACTGAAAATACTAATGGCAAACTGGAAAATAATGTCTTATAACTTAAATCAGATGAAGGGTGATCAATGTCCTTACTCTGTAAAGAGCTTCAAAAATAGAGAAGAGAAATGCTAATCACCAATTAAAATCTGAATAAGAGTTATGAACAGCTAGTTCATTAAACTAAATCAAAGGCCCTTCAACATATGAAAAGATGCTCAAGCTTGCTTATAAATGAAATACAGATTAAAACTACACTGAGATGTTATTTCTCATCCCTAAGATTGGCAAACATCCAAAATTTTCACAACATAATTCTGTTGGCAATGCTGAGTGAAAACGAGTATACTCATGCATTGCTAGTTGAGGGAAATTTGGTGTTATGTATAACAGTTACTTATGCATTTACTTTTCAGCTCCAGAATTCTAATTTGGAAAATCTAGACCTAGTTGGCAAAAATTGTCAATGGTATTTACATAAATTTTCATTGTGCCTGTTTGTAATGTAGCAAAAGACTAGAAACAATCCGAATGACCAATAATGGATTGTTAGAATGAATTATGCTACATTTATATAATGGTACAATAAATGACTAATAACTCTGTTAAGTTACTACAATGTGATATCCAAAACTCATTGTTGTTGTTTTTTTAAAGAAACATATATATACAGGCAGAGAGAAACAATAGAATGATAACCCAAAAACTAACTTCATTACCTACAGGGTTTGTGAAAGGGGAGAATTTGGAAGAGGAAACAGATAAGCAAATGAGACACTATATGTGCTTTTTAAATTGTTTTGACTTTGTTGTTTTTGTGTGCCATAGAGTTGATTCCTACTCATAGCTTTCTGATAGGATAGAATAGAATTGCCCCCATAGGATTTCCTAGGCTGTGGGGCTATGGGTTAATGCGCTGGACTGCAAATTCGGTTTGAACCACAAGGCTGGTGGTTCAAGCTCACCAGCCGCTCCTCAGAAACCCTATACAGGGTAGCTATGAGTCAGAACCGACTTGATGGTACTTAACAACAACAACAATGTTGTCCTGCAGGATAATTCACTGGACCACATGGTCAGTTTGACTCCCAAGGTTGGTGGTTCAAATACACCAGCTGCTCTTCGGAAACCCGATATAGAGTCATTATGATTCAGAACCAATTCAGAGACATTTAACAGCAATGATCTTTTTAGGAGCAGATCACTGCGTTTTTTTCTCCCTCAGAACCACTGGTTAGAACTGCTAACCTTTTGGTTAGAAGCTGAGCACTTTAACCATTGCACCTCCAGGATTCTTTTGTTTGGCTTTAGAACCATGTAAATGTTTTATGAATGTTGCTTTGTTGGCATAACTAAAAGTACTAAATTGAAAGGAAAAACAAAATAAAATGATTGAAGCAAACAGCAGATTTAACAGTATTTTAAGTTTATGGCATAACCACAGATGAGTTACTTGGAAACATTGTATTCAGACTGTCAAGATTTAGTAGGGTGGGGGGAAAAAAATTTAGTGAGGGGAGTTCTAGATAATAAAAAACAACACAATTTTGAACAACACCCAATAGTTGTGTTGATGTAATGTTGTTATTTTGAAATTAGTACACAGGACTTATAGAATAAAATATAAGTGATTATGTAAATGCCATTAAAATGAGTTTCAGCATTAGCAAAGAAATACAAAATCAAATAAATTGGATTCCAACTTTCAGTCAAGTTGGAGTAATGGACTGAATTTACCCTCCCACTCGAAACAATTGAAATACTGGACAAATAACTGAGGCTATGTTTTTAGACCGTGAACATATTTCTAGGCTACAGCACAGGGAAAGGAAGCTAGGCATAGCTCAGTAGTCTCCATGAATTGAGAAAGTGGAACTGGGAGTCTCAGAAGCCAAGGTGACTACAGTTAGCATGATAGAGTATTTATTATAGAGGAAACAGCTGCACAGAGAGAAAGCTCGAGATACGCAGAGGGTGCCCTTCAAGTCTTCAACTGAGTACCCATCAACACAGGGCCAGGAATGCTTGTTTTCACAAACCAGTGCAAAAAATCTCATCATTCATAGGGCATTTGGTATTTAAAAGAGTACCATAGGCCCTGCATGATGGTGGGGAGGGTGACAATTAAGTGGTCAAAGCAATCTCTAACAGGCTGAGAGGGAGCAAAAATTGCTATTTACATAACATTTACATTGCATTCTGTATTACAAATAATCTAGAGAGGATTTAAAGTATACAGGAAGATGTGGGGAGGTTCTATGCAAATACTGTGCCATTTTTTTAAATAAAGTACTTGAACATATCAAAAAAAGGAAAAATTGAATAGAGCATCAGTAGTCTGTGGAACAAATCAGGCAGGTGTGGCGCTGTGGGATAATGCGTCAGACTGCGAAGTCATTTGAACTGCAAGATCGATGGTTCAAGCTAACCAGCTGCTTCTTGGAAATCCTATACAGGGTCGCTATGGGTCGGAATTGACTCAATGGCACTTAACAACAACAACAAATACATATATGGACTCCTGGTATGGTGATGTAGGATCACCACTGGGCTGCTAATCGCAAGGTCAACAGTTCAACCCCCCCCCCCCCAGCTGCTCCTTAGAAACCCTATACAGGATCGTTATAAGTTGGAACGTAAAAACAACAATATATGTATATGGAGTCCTGGTGTGGTGCTATAGGATTAGCACTGGACCAGAAGGTCAAGTTGAACCACGAGGTTGGCTGTTCAAGCTCACAGGCCGCTCCTCGGAAACTCTACACTGTATTGTTGAGAATCAGAACTGACTTCACAGCACTTAACAACAACAACAGGTACAGATATTTAAGCACCACACCAATACTCCAGGTAATTTGGGATAAGGAGGCGCAAAAAGGGCTGATTAAAGTGAAGTTGATGAGACATGAATATGCCTTGTGGGGTTTTTTGTTTGTTTTTTAAAGACGTTACAGGTGGTTTTAATGAACAGTCACTTTAGAGGTTTATATAATGGTTAAATTCACAAGCAAAAACGATGCTTCAGTTAGTTCAGAAGGAAGTTTTGAAATTTATATTTTTTATGAAGCCCCCCCACACACACACACACTTGTTTCTGATGTGAAGCCTAACTTGGGAATCACTGCAATGCATTTTCTATATACTCTAAGCCTAAATAGCGGTCACCAAAATGTGAATTCATCTTTTAAAGAGAACTTTTTCAAACTTAAATAGTGTGTACAGCCTTACACAATGCTTTTAAAATGCAAAATTTGGTCAAATTACCTTATCCTTCTAGGATATGTTGTTAAGTGTCAGTGAGTCGATTCCAACTCATAGTGACCCTGTATAGGGTTTCTAAGGAGCAACTGGTGGGTTTAAACCACCAACCTTATGGTATGCAGTCTAGTGCTGATCTTATAGCACCACATCGGAAGTCCAAGTTCTAGGATAATAGGAAAAATATGCAATTTGAAGATATTTTCTGTAAATATTTCATTATATAGCTTTTGATACATACAAATGTAAGTATCCAATTTTCTTTTTCAGAAAGCTGTATGTGGTGGCATCTGTCATTGTCTGTCTGCTCCTTTCTGGATTGGCTGTGTTGTTCCTTTTCCCTCGCTCTATTGGCGTGAAATACATTGGAGTAAAATCAGCATATGTCACTTATGACGTTGAAAAGCGTACAATATATTTGAATATCACAGTGAGTACAAACTTATTTAAAATGTTTAACTTAGTCTTTTATCCATGAAGCCATTCCTGTGTCCTTACAGGGAGGATGTTTTTAAATGCACAGTGTTTACTTTGCTTTCTATACAGTTATACCTCAGGGATATTGTGTGTTTGGTTCCAGACCTTCGCAATAAAGCAAATATCAAAATAAAAATATTTTTTTGTTTACCAATGTATATAAGTTATGTTTATACTATACTGTAGTCTATGAAGTATGTAATAAAATTGTGAAAGAGCATGAAATACTGAGAATTACCAAAATGTGACACCAAGATACAAGGTGAGCACATGCTGTAGGAACCAGTGGCAGCAGTGCACTTGCTCAATGCATGATTACCACAGATCTTCAGTTGGTAAAACGGAGGTGCGGCAACATGAGGCATGTCTGTAGAGCTTTGTTACTTTCTTGTAGTGACATTTTCTGCCATTCTGGTTTCAGCTGAAAATGGCAAATAATAAATGCTGGCAATTCTTTGTATACCATATTTACTACATAGCATTAAGTATTTGAAGATGCCTTTAGGAAGATAAAGTAAAATAATCAATTTGTTGTTAGAGAAAAAAAAAAAAAGTACAGCTATGCTTTGGAGTCCTGGTATGGAGCCATAGGAGAAGCTCTTGACTGCCAACGCACCAGTGCTCCTCGGAAATCCTGTACAGGGTCACTATGAGTCAGAACCGAATCAATGGCACTTAACATCAGCAACATACTCTTTTTTGATGTTTTAATCTTTTATAGTGTATTGAGTAAGTGAAGGCTTACAGCACAAATCACCATTTTTACATTCAGAAAATCATTGTAATAATTACAGTCCATTCCATGCACCTTTAACCAACAATAGTATTTACCTCTATTACCATTTTTCTATATATACAAATACCACATTATAAATATATATTCATTTAAATATCCAAAGGGCACATTTTGCAAACCAGCCTTCTGCCCACAGGCACACTGCTTTTCTTAGTCCATGGCCCTAAAGTCCAATGCTGTTCTGTCTCTCTGTGCCATCGCCTCCGCTACCATCTCTCTTGTCGCTGTTTTTCTGGTTAGGATCCCTTGCTCCTGTCATGTTCTTCCCTCTTGATGGTCCTAGGCTCTGCTGTTTCTGAAATGACAGATTAACTGCTCCCCCTTTTCTACATTTACTGTTGTGACAATCACCATTAGACCTGAAAACAATTACTCGCAGTTGAAACATAAAACCCTATCCCCCTCATCACCAGACCTATATGGGCATGAGGAAACCTATTCAGTAGGGTTTCTGTCTTACTCCCCTCATTCTGACACTAAGCATCCTCATGAAAGCTTGTAAGTTAGCCACTTTCTGCCTTTTAGCCCCCAATTTTGATAACTGAAGTCTTAAATTGCCCATCCCTATCAACCCATTATACTGAGGAGACTTGCTCTATCCTTGACTATGATAGAGAATCCTTCCCTATTCGTTTGAAATTTGGGGCAAACCTCATCCATAAACAAGTGTCCAGTTGATCAGGTTGTAGCAATTTACACCTGGTCCCTGAACATACTTACTTTAACATGTACTTAATCTCTTTTTTAAGTAACATCCAATGGCATAATACATCTGTGGTCTCATAAGGGTTTTTTGTTTTGTTTGTTTTTTAAGGGAAGGCAGCTCTCCTTTTGTTGTTATTGTTAGGTGCTGTCAAGTCAATGCTGACTCATAGCAACCCTATGTACAGCAGAATGAAACCAGCCCGGTCCTTTACTGTCCTCACAGATGTTGAACTCATTGTTGCAGCCACTTTGTCATCCCACCTCTGAGTGTCTTCCTCTTTTCAAATGACTATTCCTTGTTTATGATTTCCCTGTAATGGTTTCAAAGTCTTCAAGCCCAGATGTTGCAGTACTGGTCCACAGGTAGAATGTTCTTCACCTGAAGCAGAGGACAAGGTTCTGGGTGTGAGCTCTCCAGTTTTGTCATGTCACTAGATGCCTGGGCTGCTGGGGTTGTTCTCTTCCTCTGGCTTGGCTCCCTCCACTGCCCTCATCACCTCTGCTGTTATCCATGCGTCTGTCTTCCACACCTTGCCTCTGTCTGCACACCAGCAGGAGAAAAGACAAGGATGGCTGGAAATAGGCTCTCATAAGGAGTCCTGATTTGGTGCTGTAGGATGTGTACAGCATAGAACAAGGTCATAGGGCATAGAACAAGATCATTTTGAACCACAAGGTCGGCAGTTCAAACTCACCACCCACTGTGAGTCTGTTTTCAGCTATCTGGTGACATACATGCTTAAACAGGTGAAACATGATCAGCAAGTTGCAGGATGGAAAAACTAGCTGGTTTAGTAAAAGAGCTTGAGGCAGATGAGTAGGTTAATCCCATCTGCAGCTGCTGGGGTTCACACCTGTATAAGGTTGTGCTGACACTGCCTTTGGGGCTCAGCAAGTGCAAAGTGTGGCAGCTTCTATAGACTCCCAGAGATTGACAACTGCACCTTTGAATTGCTTATTCATATCCAAACAAGCAACAAAATGCTTCAGTGTGTGATCTTGCAGGGAATATTTTTGCTTTTTAAAAAAATGTTTTGGGACTCAGGAGGTTTGAGTTTAAAAGATATTTCTAAAACGTCACTAGCCAGTTGGCCAACTAAATGGCTTTTCTGCTTTTACTCATCCAGTGCCTGAAAATCCTCACTTTGTCAAGTCCAAGTTCAGGATCTGTAGTTACAAAAAAATACAGTATTTCTGACATAAAATAGTTTTCTTTTGCAGATGAATGTGATTTCAACTCAGGACCTGTCCAAATGAGGAATTTTATAGTATTCTTTTTCTTTCTATTTTTAGACATCTACAGATTCTAGCTTTTTTCTAGTCTCTTCCAGACATGCCAAGTGGCAAAAAAAAAAAAAGAATTGAGTTTTGCATATTGGAGCACTGTAAAAATAAAGCAGAGAGTAAAACCCTTTTAAACACAGAAATCCTGAGTTCATCTCATTGGTGAATTTATGCAATCTGGTGCAAATAAATCCTTTGAAAGAGCACCAAATTGGTTTCTTTATCTTTAACCCTCAGAGATTTGGATAGGTAATGGGGAAAAATGCATTTTACAATAAAGGAATCTAAAAACAAAAGATTTGGTAAGATATTTGAAAAATATAAGGTGTCAAGGTTTTTACTTCCATTTACACCTAAGTTGGACTCCTGGTATGGCATTGCAGGTTAATGCGTGGGACTAGGAAAGTCGATTTAAACTGCAAGGTCAGAAGTTTGAGCTCACCAGCTGCTCCTGTGAAACTCTATACAGGGTCACTATGGGTCGGAACCGACTCGGTGGCACACACAACCCTCCCCCAACTTTTAACAAATACCTTTGTTGTTGTTGTTAAGTGCCGTCGAGTCAGTTTCGACCCATAGCGACCCTGAATAGGGTTTCCGAGGCTGTAAATTTTTACGGGAGCAGATCGCCTCATCTTTCTCCCGCAGAGCAGCTGGTAGTTTCGAACTGCTGACCTTCCGGTTCGCAGCCCGATTCGTAACCACTACACTACCAGAGTTCGTTTACATACATATATATGGAGTCCTGGTGTGGCGCTGTGGACTAATGCATCAGGCTGCAAAGTCTGAACTGCAAGGTTGGTGGTTCAAGCTCACTAGCTGCTCCTTGGAAACCTTATACAGGGTCACTATAGGTCAGAATCGACTTGCGATGGCATTTATCAACAATACATTTACATAGTTACTGCAACAATGGAAACGGCTCAAATGCATAAGCAATTATAAGGATGGTGTGGAACCAAACAGTGTTTCAATCTGTTGTATTTAGAGTAGTTATGAGTCAGAGCTAACTTGATAGTATGTAACAATGATAATATATTTGCAAATGCAGTCAAGCATTTTCATATGAATCTAAATTAAAGCATTTTCATATGAACCTAAATGATAACTTACGTAACTGATCTGCTAACCACAGTCAGTCAGTGGCTCAAACTATAAATAGGGTCATTATGAAACAGCATTTCACAGCAACAATGCTATGTTAACTGTGATCACAGTATATTTTACCATTTTAAATGGTCATGACTGTATTACAGTTCACTCAACCATTTTCTTAATGAATGTTTAGTTTTGCAGTTAAGAATATTTATTCAAGAAACTTCATTCTTTTTAAACTGTTTCCATTTCAGATTTTTTCTTTAGGATAAATTACTGAAAATAAATTTGCCAGTTAAAGAGGGATTGAGTCTCCCCACAGGGCTTCCAAAGTTGTCACTTCTTTCTACTTAGATGTGGATAGTGGGTTCAAACTGTTTACCTTTTGGTTAGCAGCCTAGCACTTTGACCACTGTGCCACCACGGTTCACAAAACGGCAATCCTCATGATTTTAAATCTTATGACTGTGGACCCTTTTTGACATAGAAGTTAAATGGATCATCACTGTTCTGTTTTGCTTTTTTTGTTGGCTTTCTTGGAGCTTAATTTTTTCTTTTTGTCTTTCTAACTCTCGATACATCTTTTCCTAATTCTAATATGAATTTTTGTCTTAAATCTCTCTGGATTGCTGATTGTTTTAATATTCTAATGATGAAAACTATGGATACTTCATAAAAAGATACATACTAACATTATTTTGCCTGTACAGAGGGGTTATGGGAGATCCATTGACCTCAAATGAATAATTCTGTAGTGTCTAAGAATAAAATTGACATGGCTATTAAATCTAATTAGAATTGATTGTTGGTTCCATGTGAGTTCATGGAGGCCCCACCCTTTCCAGAGGAGTATTTTTAGACTCCTGATGTGATGCTGTAGGATAAGCACTGGACTACAAGGTCAATGGTTCAGATCCACCAGTTGCTCTCTGGAAACTCTATTTGGGATCACTCTGAGTCAGAACTGACTCGACAGCACATAACAACACATTTTTGTATAAGCAGGTTTGTGATTTGGACTGGTCCCAGAGAAAGACTGAGAAAGAAAAGAACAAAATGTGACACAATGCTGAATGTTGTTGAGAATGCAAGCAACTGGGATTTTCATACTGATATATTGCTGCTGGAAATAAAAGTGATGCAAGCACTTTGAAAGAACAATTTGGCTATTTTTTATAAAATCAAATGTCCACTTAGCATATAACCCAGCAGTCCCAATTCTTGGTGTTTGTTCAAGAGAGGAAAAATTAAACTGAATTTAAACTGAACACTACTGCTTAGAGAAACTTTATTCATAATTGCCTAAAAATGTAAATCATTCAAATGGTCTTCAGTTTATGAATCAATAAACTCTGGTATATTTATATAGTGCAATACGACTGAGCAATAAAAAAAGTATTGAAATATAGCAAAAAATGAATCATAAAATTTTTATATATTTAGGTAAAGATGATTTCTCCTGTTTTACCAAGTTTTTATTTAATTTCAAATTGTAATTAAATGAATGTATAAATGTGATCATGTAATCATAGATCTCTAATTTTTTTTTTTAAATCAGTTCTACTAAGACTGTCTTCACTCATCCCATATTACATAAATTTCTCCATATTTGTACTAATTTATATAGATAAAAGAGTTCTGGTGTGGTGCTGCAGGAAGCACTGGGCCTCAGTGTCAGTGGTTCAAACTCACCAGCCATTCCTCGGAAACCCTATACAGAATTGCTGTGAGTCAGAAATGACTCAACAGCACTTAGCAACAGTATAGGTATAGGTGCAATTGTGGTATCATAGGATAAGCACTGGATGACCAGCAATTGAAACCTACCAACCACTCCAAGGGAGAAATATGAGTTTTTCTGCTCCCATAAACAATTATAGCCTCAGAAACCCTATACAAGGTTGCTGAGTCAGAATTGAATCGTTGGTAGTGGATTTGGCTTTTGGTTTGGTACACGGATACACTAACATGTTCAAATTTTATTTAAAAATTTTTTTTTCCAAAATTCTACATATTTTTATGTATCTTGCTTTTCTAATTTGTTAATATCTTGTAGAAGTCTCTCTCAATCATCTTGTTACCTGGTTTAGACTTAAGCCTTTCTTTTTAATGGTTGTATTTTCATGTACCCCATGAAAGCGTTTAATGTGATTGCCATTCTCTTTATGAGTAGGCATTCATTTCTTTTTTTTCTCTTTTTTGCCACTACAAAGAACATTGTCATTAACATCCTAATGTTTTTATGTCTGTGTTATAGGCTCTCAGAAGTATTGCTAGGTCAGAGTGTGTATACACCTAACTCCTCACTTAAGTACATAGTTAGGTTTCAAGTATCAGGTTGCTATGCAAACATCAGCATTATGTGTAAAGGAGAACCATATCATTACATAATGGTGAAATGACATCATTATGTAAGTTCCAGATTACATCATGACATTACTGCCAAACCCCTGAGGATCATGGTTCAGCCATGTTGACACAGTTATAACTTTAATCATACAACCACCTCAGTGTTTGCTACTGTGAGACATATGTCTTTAATGCATGAAACAGGTAGATTTTTTACTCGACATACTGTCTAAATATGAAATGTTGATTAGCAAGATAATTTATAAGTAAGGAGTAGGTGTATATATAATTTTAAACTTAATGAATGTTGCTATATTACTTATTAAAATGTCCATAACACTTTGCATATTTGTTAGTAGTTGCAAATATACCCTTTTCCTTATCTCTGCCAGGATAGAATTTGTTGCTTTCTACAGATTTGACTAATTTGAAACATATAAAGCAGTATTTCATTGTTACTTTTATCAACTTTTCCCGAACTTCAAATTCTCTAGCTCAAATTAAATTTGAGAATTTCTTCAAATATTTCTTGCCCATTGAAATATCTTACATTTCGAATTTGCCTATTCATATTTTTATCTATTTCCTTTTTCATATCTACTAGGGTTTTATCATTTTCTTTTCATTCTGTAAGGCCTCATTGTATATCATAGATGGTACCATTGTTATTTTCTATTCGTCCATAGTTATCATTTAGTACCTGTTGATTTTGTTTCTACTATCCTCAGAACTGGCGTACTGGTATGGTGCTCTAGGATAAGTACTGGACATGCTAACTAAAAATTCACCAGCCACTCCTCAGAAACTGTATACAGGGTCACTCGCTGTGAGTTGGAACATACTCAACTTGAGGGCACTTAACAAATAATTGCAAACATCTTCACAACTGACAATAAATAATTGCATATTAGGTAAATCTGCTGCAAAAGACCTCTTTAAAGTGTCCAAGAGCAAAGATGTCAGTTTGAGGGCTAAAGTGTGCATGACCCAAGCCATTTTATTTTCAACTGCTTCATATGTATGTGAAAGGTGAAAAATAAAGAAGACCAGAGAAGAATCAAAATATTTAAATTATGGTGTAGTCACAGAATGCTGATAGTACCATGGCCTACCGGAAGAACAAACATATCTACAGTGTAAGAAGTATAGTCAGATGCTCCTTAGAAGCCACATGGCAAGATTTCATCTCTCATACTTTGGACATGTTATAGGAAGGGACCAGTCCCTGAAGAAGGAGATCATGCTTGCTTAAGTGGAGAGCCAGTGAAAAAATGGAAGACCCCAAACAAGATGGATTGTCACAGTGGCAGCAGCAACTGTGGACTCAAACATACCAGGCAGTGTTTCATTCCGTTGTGCATAGGGTTGTTATGAGGCAGAAGCAACCCCAAAGCACCTAACAGCAACATTTTTTTAAAGTTTTTATTGTGAAGTGAGTGATATTTATTTATATTTAGGGGAACATCAGTTTTACACTCAATTGTTTCATTGCAAGGATTACAATCCCCTACGTGCATCATCATTCAATAGTATTTGCTTCTATTCCCTCTGTATGTTTTGTGGCTTTTTGGGGGGAATGTACACAAAAATACTCAGGAATATATAATCATTTAAACAACCAAAGGGCACATTCTGCAAGCCTGCCTCCTGACCACCAACACACAGCCTTTCTCTTTCTGTGAGTCTAGAGTCCTCAGCTGCTCGATTTCTCCACAGCAACATTTTTTTGCTGACTATTTTTCATCTGATTTAACATTGTTTTGTGGCTTTTTGGGGGGAATGTACACAAAAATACTCAGAAATATATAATCGTTTAAACAACCAAAGGGCACATTATGCAAGCCTGCCTCTTGACCGCCAACACACAGACTTTCTCTTTCTATGAGTCTAGAGTCCTCAGCTACTCGATTTCTCCACAGCAACATTTTTTTGCTTTGACTATTTTTCATCATGATTTAACATTGTTTTCCGTTCCCTTCACTACTTTCTAAAGTAATTTAAAACAATAGTTGTGGATTGGAAATATAGAAGTCCATCCCAGCTGTTACTTAAGTATGTTGTTGTTGTTGTTAAGTGCCGTTGAGTCAGTTCCGACCCATAGCGACCCTGTACAGGGTTTCCGAGGCTGTAAATCTTTATGGGAGCAGAACGCCTCATCTTTCTCCCGTGGAACAGCTGGTAGTTTTGAACTGTTGGCTTTAAGGTTCGCATCCTGATTCGTAATCACTACGCTACCAGAGCTCCTTATAGAAATGATAAAACAACATCTCTCTCCAACCAAATGAATTTTAATCTATCTCATTTCCCCTGTAATTTGTACTGACCTGGTATAAATCTAGATTAGTATATAAATTCAAATACTAGTTTCCTTTAAACAAGCAAAGTTATTTTGAGTACAGTGTAACTCTTTTAAATGGCTATCACTGTATATAATAGAAATAGCTTCTAATATAGTCTGGATTCCTGTATATACTTGTAATTAGTAAAAACTATAGATTTCATGTAGAATATATTAAGTTTTTGCTAACTAAGGCCTTTAATATATTTTCTAGCATTTTTCCATATTCTTACACTATATATTTTCAAAGCCTATTTTTGTGTGTGTGAATTTGTGTGTTTATTGTAGGCATATGCATAGGGGTCACAGGTCAAACCAAAATATTGGTGTATTTGATGTTCTTTAACATTTTTGGTTAAAATTTTCTTCTTCTTAGAATTAAGTTACTTTTTTTATTGAGCATGCATTTTTTATGCTTATTTTTAGATAACATATATATTTTCTGTTTTCTCTTGCAGAGCACACTAAATATAACAAACAATAACTATTATTCTGTTCAAGTTGAAAACATCACTGCACAAGTTCAATTTTCAAAAACAGTCATTGGAAAAGCACGCTTAAACAACATAACCAACATTGGTCCACTTGATATGAAACAAGTAAGCCTTAGTCATAAAATCATTTTAAGGAGTTAACCTAGTCTCAGCTTTGTGTACCATGTTAACTTGAGTGGGCAGGAGAAGTTTGCAAATATTTAACTTTGATATATGTCCCCATGTATATATAAGAGGAAATCTTAGCATAAAGTTTATAAAGAGAGACAGTCCTAAATTCTCTGAAGATATGAAATGCATCTGAACTGTTTGATATTTTGATTGTATTCTCTACTGGTTATTTCCATTTTTGTCTTTCAGATTGATTATACAGTACCTACTATCATAGCAGAAGAAATGAGTTATATGTTGTAAGTTCTGGATTTTTTTTTATTTTTTATTTTGCTCTTTATTGTGAATTGAGTGAAAGTGTTCAGAGCAAATCACCAGCTTTACATTCAACAAATCATATACTTTATCATGGCAATAATTGCAATCCCTCATTGTATCCTACTTCCTCCCTCTGAATCTTGTTTCCAATCTACCTTCTTTCCCAACTTTTCCAAATTTTGTCTTCAGGTAAATGCCACCCTTTAAATCTTGAATGGTTGACCAGCCCGTGATATACGTAACTCACTAGTGTGTTGTTCTAAATTTTTAATAACTTCTTAAAGTCATAGAATAAATTACAAGGATTGTTTGTTTTTTTAGTTTCCTATAAGTGAAAAGGAACAACTTTCTGGAATATTCCTTCTGCCCTCTGATCTATTCTTCTCTTAGGCATATTCACATAAAGTTATTATTTATAAGCATTAGGATTATAAACACCATGTCACTTTTTATCTTCACTCACTATAAGAACTGTAGTATTTATTGATATTTTAGTATAAGTGGAGCATAAACGTAATACTGTATAATACTTTTATCTTGTTTTAAAATTTAAAGTAGATATAAATTATTATTAACTCGTCATGTGAAAAAATATATATATTTAAAGGTTTTTATTATCTTATGGGCCTGGATCTAGAATTTCTGAGTAAGAATTTCAAATGTATAAGCAATTTGTAGCCCATGTTAAAACAACTCTACAGCTGAAATAGTATAGGAAATATAATGTTAGAATAAGAAGTCATGAAATATATTAATCAGCATTTGAAGTACAAAAAATGCTAAATAATATACTTGTAATATTTACTACATTTTCTTAGTAGTATCTATAGTTACTTTACAATAGAATAATGGTAATTAAACTATTTTAATGTATAATGTCATAATCTGTACTTATTGGCATATTTTCTTCAACAGTGACTTCTGTACACTGATGTCCATCAAAGTACATAACATAGTTCTCTTGATGCAGTAAGTATGATTTTTTTTTAACCACCTTGACTTATATAATATATATTGTTGTTAAGTGAAGTCGAGTCAGTTAACTCATAACGACCCTGTATAGGGTTTCCAAAGAGCAACTGGTGAGTTAGAACCACTGATCTTGCAGTTCAAACTGACTCTGTGGTCTAGTGTTTGGTGTTTTAAGAGTGTTGTGAGGTAGAATAAATATTATCCCTTCTACAAATGAATTAATAGGAAGGAAATCAGAGTACTAGTGAAGAATCATATGGCTGATAATGACTGTATCTAGACATTGAACCTACCATTCGTCTGTCAGTTTGTTGTACTCTGGTGACTTAATGTGTTGCTGTGATTCTAGAAGCTATGCCACGGGTATTTTAAATACCAGCAGAGTCACCCATGATGAACAGATTTCAGCGGTGCTTCCAGATGATGACAGACTAGGAAGAAAGAGAGGCAGACTATTTCTGAAGTTTAGACATTGAAAACCTATGAATAGCTGTGGAACATTGTCACTTGTAGTACCAAAAAATGAAAATATTATAAATAACAGCAGAATGTTGTCAGATATAATGCCAGACGATAAGCCTCTCAGGTTGGAAGGCACGCAAAATACAACTGGGTGAGAGCTGCCTCCTCGTAGTAGAGTTGACCATAATGACACGCATGGGACAAAACTTTTGGGACCTTCATTTGCTGATGGGGCAGAACTCAAAATGAGAAACAGCTGCAAACTTCCTTTAATAATTGGTAAATGGAATATTCAAAGTATGAATTTAGGAAAATTGAGGAAATTGTCAAAACATGAAATGAAATTCATAAAGATCAATATTCTAGGCATTAGTGAGCTGAAATGGACTGATACTTGTCTGGAGCACCTGAGCGGAAGGTCCTTGACTTGTCCGACAATCGGCTATATTCTGCAACCCGTGTGGAGAGATTAAACCCTAATAGGGGTGACAGGAGATTAGTAATAAAAACTAAGATACAAGACACAAATAAAAATAAATAAAGTTGGGACCAGGTGGGATGCAGCACTCTGATAGAGATACTGCTTCCCGACCTAGTGGTGCAAGTTTATTTTATACACAGCTCAAGGGGAGGTGCTTGAGGGAGGGTAAGGAGTACAAGAACATCTTGTACTGAAGGAGCCTGTAGTAAGTGGAACTGTATTAGAAAAACTGTAACTTGTGGTAGCTAGCCAGAACAAAGATTAGAGCAGCTAGAATATTGTGCAGACTGAGCTGAAGGACATAGCTAAGTACATACAAGGAAAGACCTTACAAGCTCCTTGTCCCCTGAGGCAGCCCTGCAAGTTCCTCAGGGGGCATCTTGACTTGGATGCAGCCCAAGTTTCTGGACCACAACTGTTGAGTTGCAATCCTTTGGTTAAACTACCCCAAAGTCAGGGTACTTCGGCATAGCTGCTCCCAACTAACCATTTTGAATTGAATCAGACAATGCTATGGTTTATTATGCCAGCAATAACAAATTGAAGAGGAATGGTATCACATTAATTATAAAAAAATTTCATGATCTGTCTTGAAGTACATTATTGCCTGTGATAAGATAATATCCATACTCCTACAAGGAAGACAACAAGCTAATATCACTGTTATTTAAATATAGGCACAAAGCATTAAAGCCAGTGATGACAGAATTGAAAAATTCTACTGTCTTCAGTGTGAAATTGGTCAAACACACAATCAGGATGCATTGATAATTACTGGTGATTGAAATGCACAGGTTGGAAACAAAGAGGAAGGATCAGTAGTTGGAAAATATGGCCTTGGTGATAGAAATGATGGTGTCATATGATTGTCTGATTCAAAATTTTGCAAAACCAATGACATGTTGAGTGCAAGTATCTTTTTTAAACATCATGAAAGTCAACTGTATGTATGAACGTCACCAGATAGAATACACAGGAGTCAAATTTACTACATCTGTGGGAAGAGACAGTAGAAAAGCTCAATATCACCACCCAAAACAGACTGTGGAGCAGATCGTCAATTGCTTATATTTAAGTTCATGCTGAAGATGAAGAAAATTAAAACAGGTCCACAAACCACAAAATATGACCTTGAATGTATCCCATGAATTTAGAGACCATCTCAAGAACGAATTTAATGCATTAAACATTAATGACTGAAGACCAGGAGAGTTGTGGGATGACTTCAAGAACATCATACAGGAAGAAAGCAAAAAGTTACTAAGAAGACAGGAAAGAAAGAAAAGACCAAAATGAGTTTAAGAAAAGACTCTGAAATTTGGTCTGCAGCATAGAAATGCTATAAGGAATGGAAGAAATGAGGAAATAAAAAAGCTGAACAGAATATTTTAAAGGGCAACTCGAGTAACAAAGTTAAGTATATAACGAAATGTGTAAAGACCTGGAGTTAGAAAACCAAAGGGAGGAACAAGCTCAGCATTTCTCAAGCTGAAAGAACGGAAAATTTAAGTCTCAACGTACAATACTGAAGCAGTCCTGGTGTGGGCTGAGTTTGAACTGCAAGATTAGCAGTTCAAACTCATCAGCTGCTCCTCGGAAACCCTATACAGGGTCGCTGTGAGTTGGAACTGACTCCAAGGCACTTAACAACAACAAAATATGGGCAAAATAGGAGTCCTGGTATGGCACTGTATGATAAGCACTAGACCTCAAGGTAGATAGTTCAAACTCACCAGCCGCTCCTCAGAAACCCTATACAAAGTTGCTATGAGTCTAAACTGATTTGACAGCTCTTAACAACAGCAGCAACATGGGCAAAATACTGAGTGATACAGAAAGCATCAAAATAAGATAGAAGGAATAAACGTGATATTCACCGCTCTGGTAGCGTAGTGGTTACGAATCGGGCTGCGAACCACAAGGTCAGCAGTTTGAAACTACCAGCTACTCTGCAGGAGAAAGATGAGGCTTTCTGCTCCCGTAAAGATTTACAGCCCCGGAAACCCTGTTCAGGGTCGCTATGGGTTGGAACCAACTCAACAGCACTTAACAACAACAACATTCACTGTATTAAAATTCATTGTACCAAAAACAAATGATCAGTGTATTTCAAAAGGTAGCATATGATCAAGAACCAATGATACTGAAGGAAGAAGTCCAAGCTGCCCTGAAGGCTCTGGCAAAAAACAAGACTTCTGGAAATAATGGAATACAAAATGAAATGTTTCAACAAATTGATGTTGTACTCACCTATGCCAAGAAATTTGAAAGACAGCTTCCTGGCTAAACAGTTGAAACGAGATGCATTTTTGCGCTCTTTTCAGAGAGTTGACCCAGCAGAATGCAGAAATCATTGAACAGTGTCATTAATATCCCATGCAAGTAAAATTGTGCTGAAGATAATTCAAAAGTGGCCTCAACAGTCAGAAATTCAAGCTGGATTCAAAAGAGGATGTGTAACTAGGGATATCTGATATCATATGGTTCGTGACTGAAAACAGAAAATACTAGAAAGATATTTACTTGTGCTTTATTGCCTATGCAAAGGTTTTGACTGTGTAGATCATGACAAGACATAAATAGCTATGCAAGGAATGTGTATTCCAAGACACTTAATTGTGCTCACAAAGAAACCTGTATATAAACCAAGAGGCAATTTGTTGAAACAGGACAAGGGGATACTGAATGATTTAAAATCAGGATAGTTGTTTGTCAGGGTTGTATCCTTTCTCTGTCCTCATACAATCTGTATGCTGAGCATATAATTGAGAAGCTGGAGTAGATGAAGAAAAGTGTGGTATCAGGATTCGTTAGCAAACTGAGATATGCAGATAACAACCTTGTTTGCTGTAAGTACTTTTAAGTGTGTGAGTACTTACATATTGTTAACTGAAGGTAAGTAATTTTTAAAATACCATTTATTGTGTATAATTATTTGCTAGGGCTTGCTCAGCTGGCATTGCAGTTGTCTGCTGGGGAAATATGAACTTGTGCTCATAATGTTAAGTTGTCCTTAATCAGAAAATCTCTCTGTCGAGAGAATTTTTATGTTTAAAAGTATTTTCACTTTAGAAAACTTACTTGTATAACTATTCATGTTTTTCTCTCTATATTTTATTTTTAGAGTTACTGTGACAGCAACATACTTTGGGCACTCTGAACAGATACCCCAGGAGCGGTATCAGTATGTCGATTGTGGAAGGAACACAACTTATCAATTGGGCCAGTCTGAATACCTAAATGTAATACAGCCGCAAGATTAAAAACTGATAGATACAGCTGGAAATGAAGAAATGCCTATTGTTATTTTCAGAATTCTCAAAGATAAGGTACTTCCTAATGTTGTTGTTGTTGTTAAGTGCTGTTGAGTCGGTTCTGACTCATAGCAACCCTCAGTAAGGTTTCCGAGGAGCGGCTGGTGAGTTTGAACTGCGAACCTTGTGGTTCAAACTGATCATATGGTCTAGTGCTATATCCTGTAGCGCAATACCAGGACTCCTTCTTCCTAATAGATATTAAATTGAATAACCTTGAGGTTTACCCCCTTGTTTTTAAGAGTGCAGGTAAAAAGTATGTGGACCTGCAGCCATTGTCTCTCGCTAATCTAATATTAATGATAAATTTGTAACAGGGTATTTTACTTGAATCTAAATTTATTGATTGGTTTTCTCCTCCTCTGTCCCTCCAGTAGAGGAAAAGTGGGATTTCTCTGCTGGACAATAAATAGTAATTTAAAATTCATAGCTCCAGTTACTACTGAAAATATCATTTTGGTGATGCATGTAATTTGAAAACTTTATTTCTGAATGTTTTTGTAGAAATTACTGGGAGTCTATTATTCATGGAAGACTTAAAGGATAACTTTTTCCCTATTTTATAAATTCCCATTGTTACATGGTAATATTTCAACTACCTGATATTTTAACCTTTAGCTAAAATCTTTCAGCTTTTCATTTGTTGGCATTTCACTCATTTACATGTATTGCCAGTTTTATAATGTTGCAAAGAATGGGGATTCCAGAACACTTCAAATTAATTGTGCTCATGTGGAACCTGATAGTTGATCAAGACACAGTCCTTCAAACAGAACAAGGACATACTGAATAGTTTAAAATAAGGAAAGGAAACGTGTACCCTTTCACTGTATTAGTCAACCTGTAATCTGAGCAAATAGTACAAGAAACTGGACTACCTGAAGAAGAATGCAGCATCAGGATTGGAGAAATACTCATTGACAACCTGCGCTATGAAGATGCCACAACCTTTCTTGCTAAAAACGAAGAGAACTTGAAGCACTTAACTGATGAAGATCAAAAACTAAGCTTTCAGTATGGATTACACTTCTACATCAAGAAAACAAAAATCCTTATGGTTGGACCAATAAACATCAGATAAATGGAAAACAGACTGAAATTGTCAAATGTTTCATTCTGCTTGAATCCACAGTCAATGCTCATGGAAGCAGCAGTCAAGAAATCAAATGTTGTATTGCATTGGACAAATCTTCTGCAAAAGACCTCTTTAAAGAGTTAAAAGCAGAAATGTCACTTTGAGGACTAACGTGTGCCTAACCCAGATCATGGAATTTTCAATGGCTTCATATGCCTGCTAAAACTGGAGAATGAATATGGAAGATGGGAGAAGAATTGAAACATTTGAATTACGTTGTTGGTGAGGAATAATAAATATACAGTGGACTCCCAGAAGAACTAACAAACTTGCTTTGGAAGAAGTATAGCCAGAATGTATCTTAGGAAAAAGGATGGCAAGAGTTCATCTCATGTACTTTGGATGTTATATCAGAAGGGACCAGTCTCTAGAAAAGGATGTCAGGATCAGTGAAAGAAGAGGAGAGAAACAACAGGGATTGACACAATGGCTACAAAAGTGGGCTCAAACATAGCAACAGTTGTGAAGAGAACACAGAACCAGACAATGTTTCGTTCTGTTGTACACGGGGTCATATGAGTCAGATCCAACTGGATGGCACCTAACAACAACATTTTATGTCAACATTTACATAATACTAATAAACCAAGATAAATTTTGAGAAATTCTATACCTATAAACCAAAATAATTTTTGAAAAATCCTATACCGAAAGTTTTACAATATTCCCGAATAATGTGTTTCATGTCCATTATAATTTTGTGTGATCTTCAAAAGTAGTCATTTAATATACAATATTATAAATAGAATGTGCATGGCTTTTATATAGCTTTAATAAATGTCAAATAAGTGATACCGATTCTAAATTAAATTGCCTAAAAAAAAAAAAAAAAAGAAATCTATAAATCTATAGGTTGTGAATGGGGTTCAGTTACATATTACATCTGACATAAGGTAGATTTAAAATAACACATTTTTAGAGTTACTGAGGATCTACTTTTTTAATGTTTTTCATACTAAAGAATTGTGAAGACCCTTGTTTTTGGCCCCATAAGGTACTGAAATCATCAGTGTTTTGAATGTTGTAGAGGCTGGAATTAGTTCTTTACTGAAATTACTCAAGCTCTCATTAAATCATTAAATGATGATGGCTCTATCAAAGTCAGTATTGTACTGTAAAAATTTAATAACTTTGCACATTGCATAAATATGATCTAAAAGTTGGTTACTTCTTATTTTATTTTAAATTGTTTTCAAGTGTAAATTATTAACTTAATAACATTGTTGTTTTACATTTTCAATGTTTTTTAAATTTGAACTTTTCACCTTTTTCACTCAATAAGTTCTAAAGTACTTTTTAAATATGTATCACTGGGCCAAGGGGTTGCTGGACAATAAATAGTAATTTAAAATTCATAGCTCAAAAAAAAAAAAAAAGGTTGAGGCTTGCAATTCATTTTTTTTTCTGTTTCGTAGTGACAGAATTCAAGTCTTCCCCCACATCCCCACCCCCAAGTGCCTAACTTAAGTCTGGACCATACCTATTTATAAGTCTGCTTCTCTCAAATATAAAGCATACTGGTATGGCACTGTAGGATCATCACTGCACTGTGAACCATAAGATAAACAATTCAAATCCACCAGCTGCTCCTTGAAAACCCTATACAGGGTTGTTATGAGTCAGTACCGACTCAATGATACTTAACAGCAACAACATACTTAATTATTTATAGCTACTGAAGCCTCCCATCTGCCTTTAAACACACTCAGGTCTCCCTTTAGCTTTCATAAACATCATCTCCAGATTTTCCTGAGTGAACATTTTAAATGTATGAAATATACTAATTAGTCTCATTACTGCTTAGTTTTCCTTTTATCCATTGCTGTCTTATCCAACCTTATTATTAACCAAAATTATCACTTAAAATCCACTACACATTTTCCAGTCAAACCCAATCTTTATTTTTGCTTCTGTGTTTACTGACTATGCTTTTGTGTGTGTGAAAGGACACACTTCTCTAGTGTATTGATTCTATTTGTAATTTTCAAATCATTGTCATTCAGTATTCTCTCATTCCCTGTCTGTTAATAAGTATGGTCTAGATCCACTTTCTCCCTTTGTGACTTCAGTTATCACCTGTATCTAGATTAGGACTTCCAAATCTATTTCTATATACCTAACCAGTCATCTGTCTAGTTTTACATTTACCAAGTGACTTAGAGATAACAGTATTTTGATAACTATGTGTAAAATAAAAAAAATAAAAATTAGAAACTTTATTATATCCTATTAAATGTTAAACTTTTTCTTATATATGACACTTTGGGTTAATGCACTGGACTGCAAGGTCAGTTAGAACTGCAGGGTCAGCAGTTCAAGTTCATCAACTGCTCCTCGGACACCTTAATACAAGATTGGTATGAGTCAGAACCGACTCATCGGCACTTAACAACAGTTTTAGTGTAGAATTTAATTTAGAAAACTCTAGAATTTTTAAAAAATGTGGGAGAAAAAGTTTCCTCCTATAACTGTTTTCAGAGAGGAGTCTTGGTATAGCACAGCGGGTTAATCTACTGGACTGTAAGGTTGGCTTGAAACTCAAGGTTAGCAGTTCAAGCTCACCAGTCACTCCTCAGAAACCTTATACAGGGTCACTGTGAGTCAAAACTGACTTGACAGTGAAAAGCAACAGTAACAATTCTCAGACAAGGGTTAACTAACTACCTGGATAAGCTAGAACAAAAGCTATAAATAAAATAAATTTTACTACACTACAAAAAAAAACCACATTCAAGTGAGCATTATAGCTATAGAAAATGTGACTGAAATTTTAACTTGGCTTTTCTTAGGTCAGCGTCCAATTCTTGTTCTTAAATGATAGTAGGAGAAGTATCAATGTATTTTTTAAAATACTGCTTTCAGACTTTATCCAAAGCACATGGTTAATTGTTACAGATTTTTTTCTGGTATGTCCCATAATAACTTTCTGTTACATTACTCCCTAAAAGACTATTCTTTTTAAACAAATTCAATGTTACAGAAAACTCTGTTGATGCTACCTTGCATATATAGCACTGTGCCATTTTCTGAGCTCGGTCATATATTTTCTTACACAGTTCCCTACAGTCCTGATTCAAAGAAGGGTGATAAGGATTTTGTTTTTAGAAGAGGAGTAAAGGACATTCAGAGATTCAGAAGTTGAGGACCTTGCTGGAAGTCCTATCATTTTTGTATCACCCACATCTGTTTTCTGTCATTTAAAATACCCATTGGGCAGCCCTGCCTGGCTCTGACTAGTATGAGTAAAAATTACAGAAAATTTTCATAGAATTAATAGTGGACAGTGCTGATAAACTGAGAGTTTGATAGTTCTAAACTGGTATTTGAAATTTTGTAAATGGGGACTAAACACTTAGACAATACACTACAGCATAATTTTTCTGTTAAACTATAGTATTCTTTTATCATTCCTGTAATGTAACATATGGGGTCACAGAAAATTAAGAGATTGGTATATTTAAGGCTTGAAATGGGAGAAGTATGAAAATAGTATATACTGAATAAATTGCTTGAAGATCATCTTCATTCTAGAACAGAAGTCCTGCTAGCACAGTGAGTTAAGTGTACAACTACTAACTGAAAGATTGGTGGTTTGAATCCACTAGCTGCTCTGCAGAAGAAAGACGAGGCTGTGTACTTGCATAAAGCTTGTCTAGCCCTCTGGATACTCTGCGTACCGGGCAGTTCTACTCTGTCCTATAGGGACAATATGAATCAGTAGATACTGAGTTTTGAATTTTAGTACATCACATAAAACTCGTTTTTTGTGTGCATAATTTTTCTAGACTTTTTTGGTATTTTAGGCAATTGAGAA